AAACACTTCTCCCTACCCTCAGGATACTTTTTACATTGCAATCAATAGTGCAGTTTTGGGCGCCTGGGTGGCTCAGTTGGTTAAGCGACTGCCTTCGGCTCAGGTCATGATCCTGGAGTCCCGGGATCGAGTCCTGCGTCGGGCTCCCTGCTCAGCGGGGAGTCTGCTTCTCCCTCTGACCTTCCTCTCTCTCATGCTCTCTACCATTCTCTCTCTCTCTCTCTCAATAAATAAATAAATAAATAAATCTCTAAGCATTGAGAAGTCTTGTGCTCTCATTTAAAAAAAAAAAAATAGTGCAGTTTTAGCAGTAGGCACCACAGGAAGCATCCACCTCCCTCTCCTATGTGTTTTATCGGTGTGCTCTCTTCCTAGGTAGCACGGATCTCCCCAGGTGCTGGGTGAGAGACAGGACAAGGGGGAAGAGATCCGCTCACGTTCGCTTGCCCTTTCACCTCTGGAGGTGCCTGGAGAGTTCAGCAAACACCCCTCTCACGTTCCTGTGACCGACACTGGGGAATGAAAGGCTAGAATGGTTTACCTCAAACTGCGTTATAGCAGGGGGTGTATAATGTCTGGTTTTCCCACTGTTAGTAATGCCAACACTAGGGTAACGTAATTTTTCCCTTTAAGGGGACCTTATGCTTAAACCAGTAATCTGTGAGCTGATACTGTATGAATATCTATTTCACTATCAACATTTTACCTAATGGTCTTAGCATCCATTGATGACCCCTGCCTGAATCAGTTACATTTTTAGGGATTTCAAAATGGTGATTTTATTCAAATAAATAGTGCTTCTTTATTTATAAATTAGCATTCCTCTGTAAAAAAGAGCCTTCCCTCTATTTGCTGTTATCTGGCTCTCGTGAACTAGGGTATTATTGAAAAGGTAGGGTAAAATGTTAGTTCCCTCTACTTATTTTTTTTAAAAGATTTTATTTATTTACTTGAGAGAGAGAACATGGGAGTGTGAAGGGGCTGAGGGAGAGGGAGAAGCAGGCTCCCCACTGAGCTGGGAACCCAACATGGGACTCCATTTGAGTTGTCAGCTTCTCTAAAATACTTGCCGATATCTAGGAACATTAGGTTCCCATTGTGATACAGCAACATTCAGTTGCAGTAGAAGAGCTTAAGTGGGCCTGCCCTTCCAGCTTGCCTCCCAGTCCCTTCCTAATGTGTCCTTTACATGTTCGTTGTTGGATGACAAATGTTGTGCTGCTTTCCTGCCTGACCTTGTAAGCATTTGAGATAGTGACCCCTTGGAGGGTGACCCCTTGATGTGAAGAATTCTAGGAAAATTCTTTAAATGAAGGTAACATCAATAATGTAGGCACACACGAACTGCAAGAAAATAGTACAACTGACAGTTTTCCTGCTGCTAATAGGAGATCTTCAGCAGCTTAATCACAGAGAGTAAAACCAATATGTCAGCCAAAAAATTTTGAAATTTTCAAGATTGTTTGAAATAGCAGTTTTCTTCCTGTCATTAGTTGTAAACTTCACCTTAGTGTTAATTATGCTAATGCATATGTATATATAATTTTTATTATAATGAATCATATGAAAAATTTTCATTTTGTAGGTTGAAAATGGTCAAATATTGGTAATTTCATATGGTTCAACTAAAAAAAAGTAATTACATATATCTGGGTTGTGTCCCCCAAATCTTCCTTTCACAGGTATGGTACCCAAGCAGGTTTGAAGCTCACTGAGGTAGAAGAGGCTTACTCTTTAAGTTAGAATTCCCATGGGAAATGGTTAGTGAATAAAGCAGAATTTGCAATAAAATTACAATTAGAAGAAAGTGCTGTTTGTGTAGTAGAAACAAGGACGAACAAGGAATTAGAGAAAGGGTGTATAGCGGGTGGTAGGATCCTTAGGGGAAAGCTTCAGAGTGAGAGTGGGTCCAGTGAGTACAAAATCTTCATCTCAAGTCAAATATAAATTGTTTTAATTATTGCACTGTTTTATACCATAAGCACTAAGGATAATTAAGAGTTGGCTATTTACATTTTTATAACCTTGCAGCTACAGAAACTCTAGTTGATCAGATCATGCTAATATGCTCACTGGCATACTTATAAATTTGCCTTCTCTTTGTATGTTTTCATGGCAATGTTTTTCAAACTGGATGGCAAGCCATTAATGAGTTGTGAAATCGACTTACCGGGTCAGAGCTAGTATTTTTAAAAAAGTGAAGTGAAAATGTATAAAATATATGAGTGTGTTGTACAGAGTAAGGATGGTATTGTTTCAAGAAATTTATATTTTAGTTTTAAATGTGTGTTTCTGTGTGTACATGTGAATATGCCAAGTTGAGATGCAAAATGTATTTCTTACTGTGGGTTGAAGAAAAAAGTTGAAAGCCATATTATTCTAGTTTGGTATTTTGAGTTTATGGTAGAGTGCTTGTTCACTATTAATAGTGAGGCTTTAAAATCAGAGTCTGATTCTTATTTTGAATTTTCAAATCTGTAGTTCTTTAATAATCTTGCTAGACATGCAACCAAACAGTCCTTTAACTGATTCCAGTGTATTTATTTAGGTTTCCATCCCTCTTCTTCAGTCCTTTGAACACTGCCGAATTGACTGATTCATTTTTTCCACCCTCCCGATTTGTACTGCAGAGAGAAACTGCCTGGCATGGGTAGATCAGTAGCCTTGGAAAGTGTGTACTTAGATTATTACCTTCTGCAATGATTGAGAAACACTAAATATGTGGCTAAGTAGAGTGAAAAGGTGAACTACATGCATTAATACCAAATCCTCAGATTTATTACCAAAAACACACCTTATTTTTTGGTCTGTCTTCCAGATTGGGCTTTAGCAACCGTTCGTCAGTTTTGTCATTCAGTTCAACAGTCCATGTGTTGAGTGACTACTGTGAGCAAGGCATGGCCCACATAGTTGCTAAAGGTTATAGTCAATGGAAAGTGAGAAGAGAGGGGTGAGCTGCCTGGGCACTGGCTCATACAGTTGTTGTGAGGGTTTTGAGTGGTGGCATAGTGAAGCAGACAGTGCCTGAGCAGAATAAACCACTGGTTCCTAAGCTCTTCTCGGATCTTTGCTAGGTGGTTGACCTTAATCAAGCAAGTTATTTAACTGTTTGATTCTCCATGTCCTTCAGTGTTAAATGGGGAAATCCTCACATAGGGTTATTTGGAGTATGACACATATTAATTCTCCCCTCTTCTTTCATTTCTTTTTTTTTTTAGATTTATTTGTTTATTTGTTTTGAGAGAGAGAAAGAGAGAGCGAGCGTGTGCACGCGTGTGTGTGTGTGCCTGCACTAGCAGGTGTGTGTGCATGGGGGGGTGATGGAGGAGGGGTGGGGGGAGGAGCAGAGAGGGGAGGGAGAGGGAGTGGGGCAGAGGGAGGGGGAAAGAATCTCAAGCTGACTCCACTCTGAGTGCAGAGCCTGACACAGGGCTCTGTCTCAGGCCCCTGAGATCATGACGTGAGCCTACATGGAGAGTCGGATGCTTAACTGACTGAGCCACCCGGGCGCCCCACTTCTTGAATTTCTTATACAGCTTTTCTTAACTGCCATTAAATACTGGTAGGGTCCCATGTTGAGGTGAAAAATGATTACTTTTTAAAGGAAAGCATTTTAGGGGCCGTTGTAGCTGCCTGAGAAGTGATGCCCAGTGCCTAGTTTTGGCATGAAGCGGCTAGTGAGGCAGGGAAGGAGGGAAGAAGCAGAGCTGGCTTCTAGCCCCTGAAATTTGCTTGCTAAACTTTGAATCAGTAACTCTATGTTACTATAAATAGCAGTCTTCCTGGTTCTTTGGTGTGCTTGTGCCTGAGTTATTTAGGAATATAATCTTGATTTGAGGAACCTCTGTACGTATTTTTTTTGTCCCTAAATTATCTTTAAAGAATAGGTCTTCTGGGCGCTGCCATTTTTTGCAGCTTTTCAGGACCTCTTCTCTTTATTTGTAAAATGAGGGGCTGGGCTAGTTAGCTTCAGTTCCTTTAAGCTTTAACATGTTACTATTTCCAGGAGTTGGGTTTTCTGTTGTTCATTAAGTAATTTATATCCCTCAAAACATTGCTTTTGTTGCTGGCTGTTTTTCCCTCCAACAGTGTTTATCAAAGTTCCCCTGGAGGTTTTGTTGGAATTTTCTTCCTTTTAGGAAGGGAAGGGTTCCGCTGAAGACTAGGCACAGGCGGGTTTGGAGGACTCTCACAAAGGCACGCATGGCTCTGTGTCCTCTCCGCATACTTTTTACAGATGCTCTGGCTGGACAAACTCAGCCTGGCTCCCTGGCTGTCCAGTCTCTGCTTTGGTTGCCTTTGTTGAGAAAACAATGTCTCTTACCCTGGAACCCTCCTCACAAGTAACTGCAGGGGCCAGCCACAGGTGCCTCTCACCTGGGAACTTGTCAAAATGCAACTCCCCACTCCCAGCAATTCTGATTTTAATAAGCCCAGGATTCTGAATTTGAAACAAGTGTCCTTGTTGATTCTCATGCCAGGTAGGCTCTGAAGCCTGCACTTTGAGAACCTCTGGTTTATAGTATGCTGCCTCGGCTGTTGGAAGGATGGGCAGGGGAATTTAATTTATTTATGAACAGTCTTCCTCTGAGAATGACAAGCCTACTTCTTTCTTGTTTATAATTGGGATGACTTTATGATTTTTATGGAAACCACGTGATTTTCTGCCTGGTGGGCTTGTCTCTCAAGTCAGGCAAAACTCAGTGCTTGTCATTTTAAGACCACTTGCCAGAGGCCTTGTCAGATTTGAATGTTATGCAATTTAACCCTTTTATGTTGGCTCCTGTCTTGTGGATTCAGTCTCTTAAGCTAAAAACAGATTAAGTTGGATTTTAAATATGTAAATATTTTGTGTTGTGTAAATTAGTTAATACTTTAAATGTGTCTCACTCATAGGGCATGGAGGTTTAGAGAAAAAAAATTTCCAGGAAAGAGGTAAGTTTATTTTAGTAACTTGATTATTGCACTAACCCCTTTTCAATGTAATCATCACTACTCAGGGTGAAAAGTTTGGACCCTTCGCTGGAGAGAAGAGAATGCCTGAAGACTTGGATGAAAATATGGATTACAGGTTGATGTGGGAGGTGAGGATGTCATTGTTATTTTAAATATTTAATGTTTTTCTTTATACTATTTCATGCGTTTACAAGGCTAAGTTAGTACATATTGATTCCAGTCGACTATTTAAACACTGGAATGTTTCAGTTTTAAGGGACCTGAGTAGCTTGAAAGTTTAGCATTAAAAAATATACTGTTGAAATATCTTACGAGACAATTCTTCTAGAACTCAGAAGTTTATAGTTCATCGTTGAAAAAGGAGTTTTCCATGCATAAGGATGTTTGGATTTTAAAATAAGCGTGTTCTTATACTGGATTAAGAATTCAATTTCTGTAAATGAAATTATACTTTTCCTTTAACTTTTATTTCCCAGTTGTAGTTCTGATTTCTTAGAAACAGTTCTGAGCTCTTTGTTGGAATGAAAAATACCACTTTAAAATGTACCTTACCTATATTTCAAGAACTGTGACTTTGTAGACAGTCTTTTGCAATCTGAAATTTCCCTAATGCAGGGATCTGTATATGCAAATGTACATCTGTATGAGAATTTTCATCCTAGTTTATGCCAAGTATATTTGTTGCTGAGGGATAGAAATAGAGAAGTAAAGGCATAGAGATTGTTGCAGCAAAAACTTGGAAAAAATTCAGTTCCAAGAATTGTATTTGGTGGGTTCCATGATTAGGGTGGGAGCTGAGTTCTGGGTAGGTAGGGCTGAGAGAGGTAGGACCAGTAAATCAGGAAGCGGTAGAATAAAGGGGTAGAGAGTTACACATAAAAAGCCTCTGAATGTGTATTTATCAGTTCGAGTCTGCAGAGCAACAGAACCAATAGGATGAGATATATATATTTTTTCCAAAGAATTGGCTCACGTGATTGTTGGGGTGGCAAGTCGGAATCTGTAGGGCAGGCTTACAGGCTGGAAACTCAGAGAGGAGTTGACATTGCAGTCTTGAGGCAGAACACCTCTGGCAGTCCTCAGTTGGCAGTTAAGGCCTTTGACTGAGGATGAGAGCCGGCCACATGCTGTATTGGCCTTAATCTCCTTTACTCACAGTCAACTGACTGTAGGTGTTAACCATATCTGCAGAATACCTTCACAGCTACACTTAGGATAATATTTGATAAATACCTGGTTACTATAGCCTAGCCAGCTCGACACAGAGAGCCATCATAGTGTATTATCTGCAAACAAAATACATTTTAATCATCATCCATATTGCTGAAACTGCTGGTAGTAGGGAACGGTGTTTGAGGAAGAGATTCTTGAAAGGTTTCTACAGTGCGGGTGATGGAAAATGGAAATTCATAATATAGTCCTCACTGGAAGTGGAAAATGTTATTGATTTGCCTAATTTAACGTGCTATTTTGGTTGTTTATTTTATGAATGTAAACATATTTTCAGTGGCTTTCACTATTTTTCTGTAAGGTCTTAATTTTCTCAGCAGTTATTTATTTATTTATTTTTTACTGTGAAGGTTTTCAGAAATCAAACATCTATGTGACAAATAAAAAGATAACCTAAATAAGTCACAAATACACAAATACCAATTATTTAAGAGGTTGTTCCTGGCTTTTGATATTTGTTCTGAAAATTTTAGTGTGGTGGGTTAATGTTTTGCACAGCTGGTTATGAGGCATTGTGAAACAGATAATGATTGTAATTTTTTTTAAAATTTTTTATTGTTATGTGAATCACCATACATTACAACATTAGTTTTTGATGTAGTGTTCCATGATTCATTGTTTGTTCATAACACCCAGTGCTCCAGGCAGAATGTGCCCTCTTTAATACCCATCACCAGGCTAACCCATCCCCTCACCCCCCTCCCCTCTAGAACCCTCAGTTTGTTTCTCAGATTCCATCGTCTCTCCTGGTTCATCTCCCCCTCCGACTTACTCCCCTTCATTCTTCCCCTCCTGCTATCTTCTGCTTCTTTTTTTTTCTTAACATATTTCATTATTTGTTTCAGAGGTACAGATCTGATGATTGTAATTTTTATTAAAGAAAAACTTGCCTATAGGAAACGTAAGCAGGCTGTTTCTGAACTGTTCTGTAGCTGACAGTGCAGCAGCGGATCATCTAGTTTTATATGACCTATTCCCATGGGCCTTCAACGTCTTTACATTAGTACTTGTTTTCACACACCCCTACCCCCTGTCCTCTCGCTCCACGGCCCAAAGAACTATTGATTTTATGTGTTGTAGGTTCAGGTAATGTTACATTCACTTAGTGATTGCTATTCTCTATTTTATTTTACTTCTTATTTAATATCTGGGTTTTGAATAAGTAATATTCTTATTGCTTAAAAAAATACTTTTTATGCAACTCAGGAGAGTATTGATGAAGAGTCTCCCCTTGATGAGCCTGCTCTTTTCACTTAAGTCCTTTGATCCTTTAAACCCCTTAGTTCACATGTCCTTCTACTCCTTCCTCTAGTTCTTCTTCCTCATAGTCCTCTGGTTTTCAGTTTGGATTGTCAGCCAGTCTTTTCTCTGCTGTGCTGTTGGGGGCGGGGGGGGGCAGTGCAGGACAGGGGAACACCTCTCTCAGTGGTTTGCCTTTTGGGGGGATTATTTAAAAAACAATCAACACCTTTTGAATTCCAAAAGTTTGCTGCCTGCTAGCTTTAGTACTATTAAGTATTATTATATTAAGTTAACTGAATGAGCGGCTTCCCAGCCTTGAGTTATACTAGTGAAGTCCACTTTTGTTATTTAGCCTTGGAGGTTGCAGACTCAGAAGGAGCAGAGAGAAAGGAGAAAGACTCCTTCTGCAGTCTTCCCCTCATGGAGCCCTTTGAGTCCTCTCTGAGGGAGGTAGGGAGCTGCCCCTCTCCGGGGGGTACTTTGGGGCTGGTTATTTAAGTCATTTCTAATTTGGCCCATAGCTACAAATTTAACCCCCTGCAGTTCTCAGATAGGTTGTCCTTCTCAATGAGAGCCAAGAGTTAACTTAGTCTATGTGTGATTATGGAACGTGAACCAGATCCTTAGGACAGTCTGGAAAATGGTGTCATGTGAGAGAGCATGTGGCATAGCTCTTCCTCAGTCTCTATTTGCACTTTGCTTATGGCCAACAGCTCTGGTGGACAGGGCCAGGAACCCCTAGGTGGCCATTTCATGCCAGAGAAGTTGGAGGCACCAGTTAGGAATGAACCTACTGGTATGTGTGAGGCCCTGTGAGTTTGGGACAGGATATAAAGGGATCTGATGGGACAATTGATACTGTCTGCTGTGACCTTCTCCTCTCCCTCTAGAGGTACAGGTTGGAAATTTATTGATGCCCACTGCTTCAGAGAATTCACCAGCACCTCAGCCGTGTTCTGTGTGGGCCACCAGAATTTGAGATTCAGGTCTGAAGAGACTAGTCTCATCTGTCCTTCAGGCTTGTTGGTATCCTCAGATTTTTGCTTTCTTTTGGAATTACGCTCATTGGTAGAAGATTCCTTTATTTCTTGGGCCTGAGGCCAATCATAAAGCTTGAGGTTGGAAACCCGTGCCTGATTGTAAATACTTCCCATGGATAATTTAGTGGCATGAGCCCAGTTGTCTGTATTGTGTTCTATTATGTAGAACAGTCTTTTTGTCTACTTTCTTCCAGGTCGTTTGGAGCTTGAGGTATATTTCCTTCTAGCCTGTACCTGCTCGGACTTGCTCTGAAACCCAAATCCATTACTGTACTGCGGCTAAACCTCTCAGTCGTCCTTTGTTTTTAAATCTCTAGGAGCTTCTTTTTCTATAATACTTTCTTCAGTATTTCAAGGCACAGTTAACTCAGATTCCTCCTGTCTAGGCTCTGGGTCCTTATGCTTCCTGCACATACATACCTTCAAGTTTTGGCACCTATAGAATACAACACAGATTGTACTTTTTCCTCGCCCAGCCTTTTATGCAGGTATTCCAAAGTGGCCGCCGGTGTCTGCTTGAATCCTCCAAACAGCTCTACTCTGTTTGCAGTGGGTCTTCCCTTGCTTTTCCAAGACATCCTTTTGCATCACCTGTAAGAAGTTTTTGTCTAGAAACTGGTCTGGTAAGTTGTCAAAACTTGGTATCATCCTGACATTGCCAGTGGAGTCATTCATTCCTAAACTTTACATCTATTGTGAGATCACAAAGGTCTCAATCCCATCCCTCTCTCTCTCCCGCTCATGCTGGGTCCATGTGCCTCTCCATCTTTGAACAGTTCAGCAGGTGTAGTTGGGTATTTGGTGGTGTGATCTGATGCAGGTTGAGCAGAATACCATGCTATAATTTAGAATATCGGATGGGCCTCTGTGGACAAAATGTTCTTGCTGTCAGCTAGTTAAGAACTCACATGCAGAATCCCAAAGAACCAGGTAAAACCTGGAGACTCAAGTGAAATATCTAAATTCTGAGTGTTGTTTTTACAGGAAAAAATAAAATCTCTCTTGCTTAGATACATGTTGATTTCTTGCTATTAAACCTTAGAAGAAAAGTGTCTACAACTTTGTAGAAAAGTAATTTCTGTACATTAAGAATAAAACAACACAAGACTTAAACTTTGCTTTTTAAAAAATCCATGCTCTTACTCTTAAGGAGCTTGTGGTCTTGTAAGGATTCCAGAACTAACACATTGTAGGGTGCATAAAGTACGATGAGAGAAATCAACTTTACCTGTATGATTGTGACTTAATGGCATTTAAAAAATCTTACATTTGTTTACTTTTTAAAATCTATTGACTTGAGGATTGATGAGCAAAAACTACATTTTTTTTTTCTTTTTACATCTGAGGCTAGTGGAATTACCAGGGCTATTAGTCATTACATTCTGCTAGGTACCTGTGTATTAAAAAATGCAAAATATCAAATAATCAGTTTTATTTATTTTTGTCAGCAGAAAAGATTCTGTACCTCTGAGTAAATAACATGCTTTCAAAAATACAGCTAGAGAAATATGATTACAAGATTTGTAGGTGTTTGTAAGAACTGTTAATCTTCTACAGTTATAGTAAATTATTATTTCAAAATAAATGTGCATAGCAGGTGAACTGGGGCCCCTTCT